ACTTGGTTTGTTCACCTGGCTTTCTTGGCCTGAAGGGATCTTCCATTTCCATGTTGCCTTACCCTGTACCCCATGGAGCTCAGTGAGTGGATATCTGCAAGTATCAGGTGACAGGATGCTCCGCTGTGGTGGTTGGTCTCAGCGAGCGGTTTCCTGGAGTCAGAATGCCCGTGGTGCATGGGGGCAATGCCATCTGTCCTTACTAGTCAGTGGTGTTGTAATAGTTACCTTTCTTTGGTGTGATAAAACACCATGACGGGGGCGACTTACAGAAGGGGAGGGTTTGTTTAGAGCTTATGGTCCCAGGGGGCTAAGAGCACATTACCATCATGGCAGGGAGTTATGGCAGGCATGGAGGCTGGGGCTGGAGCCTGAGAGCTGAGGGCTCACATCTCAAACCACCGACAGGAAGCAGAGAGAGCATGCTTGACATGGTGTATGGCCTTTAAAATCCCAAAGCCCACCCCTGGTGATGTATTTCCTCTATCGAGGCCACACCTTCTAAACCTACCCAAGTAGGGCCACCAACTGGGGACCAAGTGGTCAAATGCCAGAAACACTGGAGGGCAATTCTCATTCAAACCACCATTTAGGGCATGAAGATTCTAAGAACATATTATACTTTTAATTATAAAAAAATACACATACCATAGAACTTACTATCCTAGCCACGGGTTCAGTAACATTAAGTACATTCCCCTCTTGTCTAACCATAATCCAGGATTGCCTCATCTTCTAGAACTGACACTGCGTACCCATTTCCTGTGTAGATCATTTTCTCTCTCTGCAACCCTCAGAGCATGAGGCTGTTTTTTCTTTCATCTCACATCATAGTTTTGTACATTTATCCCAAGGGAAGCAAGCAAGCCTTGGGATGTGGGGTACACAAGGAGTCAGTGGATGGTTCTAACTCAGGGACTGTGTGCTGCCTGGTGCTTACATCGATGTCTATGGGTTCTGCGTTCTCTGTTCGTGTGGCAGACCAGAACACCACTGAGAAGTGCCTTGTCACATTGCTATTTTACTTAGGCATTTAAAAAATTCGAGACATGGTCACATGGTCTAGCCCAGTCTGGCCTGGAACTTGTTGTGAATACCAAGCTTATCTCCAATTTGTAATTCCTCTGCCTCAGTCTCCTAAGTACTGGTTACAGGCATAAACCCCACTTTCTTTTTTTTTATTTTTATTTATTTTTCAGTTTAAATTTAGATAAGAAACAAGGTTGCTTCACAAGTCAGTTCCAGGTCCCTCTCCCTTTCCCTCACCTACTCCCAAACCCCACTTTCTTAGAGTTACTATTGTCTTGATGAAACACCATGACCAAAAGTACGTTGGGGAGGAAAGAGTTTACTCGACTTACACTTCCATATCACTGTTCATGAGTGAAGGAAGTCAGGACGGGAACTCAGTCAGGGCAGGAACTGGAGACAGGAGCTGATGCGGAGGCCATGGAGGATGCTGCTCACTGGCTTGTTCCCCACGGCTGGCTCGGTCTGCTTTCTTATAGAACCCAGGACCATAAATCCAGGATGGCACCACCCACAATGGGCTGGGCCCTCCTCCATCAATCACTAATTGAGAAAATGCCTTACAGCTGGATCTCATGGAAGCATCTTCTCAACTGAAGTTCCCTCCCTTCAGATAACTCTGGCTGGGTCAAGCTGACATAAGACTAGCCAGTACACTCACCATGTCTGACTTCACATTCCTTATAGTTCAAAATTTTTTTTACATTCCTTTTATATTTATTTTGTTGTGTGTATGGCGCACCTATGTCCACACTACAGTACTTGTGTAGAAGTCAGAGGACAAGTTGTAGGAGTCCATTCTCGCCTTCCACTGTGTGGGTTCCGGGTCTCAAGCTCAGGTCATGAGCCTAAGCAGCAAGTGCCTTTACCCCCGAGCCACCTCGTCAGTTTGCCTGTGATTTCTTTAAACCCGAGGTAGTCTTGACTGGCATAGTATTACAAGCATTGTGCACTTAATTATTTTATGTTTAGGTGCTGAGACAGAACCCAGGACCACGTGTATGCTACATCTTTGCTGTCTCATTGAGCTACACCGGAACCCCAAACACACTACTTTAACATGTTGTCCCTTATGACAAAGCCCTGTACAAGTGATTTTTTTTTCTTTTATAACACCAAGCTTTCTTTCTTTGGAACTTTCATGTTTGGAAGTGTTGTATACCAGTTAAGGCCCAATCCTCATGCTGGGTATTTCAGAAAAAGTATTGAATTAGAGCCATTGGGAGGTTCTGGAGATATCCAAAGAAGGAAAAAATTGTGTGCTCTCCTCTTCCCTTAGGGTCAGGAATAGATAATGAAGAACCAACTTCAGAATTGGCCTAGGGATGGATGGTCCAGCATTAAAAAAAAGGACAGCTATTTTGTGCGTGAGGACAAGACATTTTGGAGCGGGGACTAAGAACAGAGCTAGTAAATATATCCCCCTCTTTGTTTTTCCTCGTGGGAGAGAATGTTAAGTTATGCAAAGATAGATTTTTATTTGACCATAATAGCAGCTTTCACTGCACAAGGTCCAAGCTGTGGCACAGCTAATTCTATGTCACACAGCTGCCTACAGCCTGTGCTTGCCTGGTTTGCAGGCTCACTGTCCTCTGGATAAGAAGCTGCATTTGGCCAGAACAGACCTGGCTTTGCCGTTTGCCGTGGCCACCACTTTCCACTGCTGCTGAGTTGAGAGTAGACGAGCAGCATGAGGGAGGGGAAGTTTTAATGCTCTTGGTATGAAATCCCCTTCCAGATTGTCTATGAGCTAAAACAAGAGGAGTATTAAAGACATCCTCATCCCTGTTCCCTCATATCCTACACGTATGACCACCCTCAGTGCTGCCCGTCAGAGCTCCCAGAGCCCCGCGTTTGCTGTTGTGCGAGAGAGGAACTCAGGCTGGCTGTACTGACCTGGGGCACACGTTCAGAGTTTCTTCACTCATGTGAACCCGGTTCCTCTGCCGTACGGCTTTGCCTTTCGTTCTTCCTCTCAGAAGACCTCCTAGGACTTCTTGATATTGAGACCCTTAATAATCGGTCCTGCTGGCTGGAGGCATATTTTACATAAGTAGGTCTTGTGCCACCATGATGAAATACCCAAAACAAGAACTTTTCATAGAGAAAAGCTCTGTTGCGCTCACAGATTGGAAGCTCAGGTCTGATTCCGGCAGACCCACCACTTTGGAGTCTGGTAAAGGCACAAGGCGACAATGGTGGTGCATATGTTGATGCTAAAAGACAGAGAGAGAAACCTTGGGGGCCCACAGACACACTCCAGCACCTAACGGCTCCTCACCAGGAACCAAGTCTTTATGTATGTGTATTTGGGTGACACCAAATGACCACAAAGGGGGGACTTCAGAGCGTGCACTGTCACTGTAATGTGCTTCGGTGGCAGCCATTGTTTAGGATGAGGACTTAGGGGAACACAGCAAAAGATGGACGTTTTGGATAGATGAGCCTGGCTTTGAGTCAGGATATTGCTAATGTGCTCCAAGTCTTTAATTCGTGGCTTCACCTACAAAAGCCCACTTCATCAGTGGGAAAGATACAGATGCCAACAGGATTAAACATGACACAGGCTGGGATATTGCAAGTGTCTGTCTCCCTCTTGCCTTCGGTAGTTCTGCATGAAAGCCTGAGGTGGGAGTTTTGACTTTTCTTCCAGAATTACCTAACATCCATTTCTTTGTTTAAAAATCACCCACACTATATGTTTTCAAAACTTTATTTTTACTTTTGAGTATGTATGCGTATGTCATGTATCTGTGAGTGCTTGCAGGGGCCAGAGGAGTGCATCAGATTGGAACTGGAGTGACATACAGTTGTGTGCTGTTTGACATGACTGCTGGGAACCGAATTTAGTTTATCTGGAAGAGCAACAAGCGGATCCATGCTCAGCCGTCTCCCCAGTACCTGTGCTGCACATTTTAAGTGTGTGTGTGTGAGTGTGTGTGTATGTGTGTGTGTGTATGCATCACGTATGTGTGAATACAGGCATTTTGTGCCACAATCGTGTGTGGAGATCAGAACACAACTTCTAGTTGTTTCTTCCCTTCTACCTTGCTGAAGAGGGCTCTGTCTTGCTGTTTCTGCTTCACTGAATCCTCCAGGCCAGCTGGCCTGAGTGCTTTTGAGTGTTTCTCCTCTTGTCTCTGTCTGGCATCTCCTTGTAGGACAGCAAGGATTACAGACCTGTGCTGCAGTATCTGGGTTTTGGGAGGTGGTGGGGGTTAATGTGAGTTCTGGCGGTGGATGTGGGTCATCAAGCTTGTACAGTGAACACCTTCACCTGCTGAGCTCTCTCTGGCCTTGGGTTCACCTTTATTGAGGATTTTTGGTCTCAGAAAGCTTGTTTGGTTTTTTTGTTTGTTTGTTTTTGGGTGTTTTATTTGTGTGTGTGTGTGTGTGTGTGTGTGTGTGTGTGTGTGTGTTTGTGTGTAAGGGTTTCTCTAAGGTAATAGCCCTGGAACTTGCTCTGTAGAGCAGGCAGACCTCGAACTCAGAGATCACCTGCTTCTGCCTCACAAGTGCTGAGATTAAAGGTGTGCACCACCACCTCCAGGCTAGAAAACCTTAATAGAATCTGAAAAATGTTCTCGTATATATTTTTGTTTAAACTGTACTTTATTGATATTGAAATTTGAGTTATATGTAATTATTATTTTTAGTTTTTCTCATACTAGAAGAATACAAACTGCATTTCATTTTTTTAACAATACTGTGAATTTTGGAACAGTTTTAAAGGTATAGAAAAATTGAGCAGGTAATATAGAGTTCACATGAGCAATTTTCCATACTTTTAGCATCGTGCATTTATACAGTATATTTGTTAACAAGCTATAGAGCAATATTGACTAATGCCTAATCTAATATCCATAGTTTATACAGATTTCTTTAGTATCTTTTCTTTGTTACAAGCCACCATCCAGAACACTGTTTATGTAAAGAATGATATTTGCAACTTTATTTTTCTCTGTTAATAGGTATACAACATGTTTCAGCACCAGAGCCTCGGGATTAAAATTAACATTCAAGTCACCAAGCTGGTCCTGCTGCGACAACGTCCGGTGAGTCTCAGTAGGTGCCTTTCAGAGCACCCTTGGAACTTAGTGGGTTTGGAAGTTTCCCCTGACTGTGACTGCTAAGGAAGGGCCTCGGGAGAACTGACTTGTTCACCTACCTCACTTTGAAGATGGCACCATTGTGAGAGAAGAGAGTCTAGAACCATGGGAGTATGCAGGCTGCTTAGAATCTCAAGGGAATGCTGAGCCAGCGGCTCACACATTGCCCCTGTTCCTGCAAGGTCTGGCACATGATGTTTTACACTGATGGGACGCTGGGCAAGGTCTCAGAAGTGTGACGGGGAGCTCCTGCCCCATTGGGACTCAGCACAGCCTTGTTTTTGCTGTCTCAGCTGAGCGCCTCCCTTCAAGCCAGTGCTGCCTACAAGAAGGCAAAACAGTCATAGACATGGAGGGAGTGCACTGGGTGTTGTAGACTGTTATACTTGTGAGAAGTAGACTGCTTTGCTTTCATGACAATCATCATTGAACTTATGGATAAAGTCCCTGGTGGCCTGGAGACATCCTGAGCATCCTTTGGTTCTGGTCTTTTATCTTAGGGCAGAATCATTGAATTGTGTCTTCAAGGGCATCTCCCTTCCACAATAGAGTCTGGGTGGCAACTTTAGCTTCCTAGATGACACTTACTCTGGCTACCCCCTTCCGTTTCTTTTAGGCCAAGTTATCCATTGGGCATCATGGTGAGCGGTCCCTGGAGAGCTTCTGTCACTGGCAGAATGAGGAGTATGGGGGTGCACGGTACCTTGGCAATAACCAGGTACCAGGAGGGAAGGATGATTCACCTTCTGTGGATGCTGCTGTGTTTGTGACCAGGTAAGCCTGGGGCCAGCTTGGATCGGGTAAGCAGTAGGAAAAAGGCAGTAACCTTTTGCGATCGTGTTAGCAATCCAGATGTGGAAGTCAAGCCTGTGTCTGCTTGCTTGGGATTTGGGTTCTCAGTAGTCAAATGGGGGTTGTTGTAGGTCCAGCCCCTGAGGGCTGAGGAAATGATGAGCTCGTGCCTATAAGCAGTGCCTATCCCGCAGTGCTAGCCATCATTAGCCCTGGTGGCAGTATTAGAAGAGTACTAATACCGGCAAGAGAGGTGCTGACAGGGATTTCGACTGTTGCCAACTAACTTGGGCAACCTGGTAGGGAGGAGAGTGGGTGCTGTGAGTTGTCTGTGGAGGAGCTCTAGGTGGGTCCGTGGATGACCTGCATAGCCTCACAGGACACACTGTTTACAGGACAGTGGGAACCCTCCCCCCCCCAGAAAACTGCCAAGTTCTGGATGCCCATGGATGTCACATGAAGACTCGGTTTGAAACATGGGTAAAGGTCCATTCCTGACTGCAGAACTGGGCTTATCCTTCCATACAAGGGGCCCAGAAATACATAGCAGAAACCCAGGGTGGCCTCTGAAGCCACAAGCAACTGCATTACTGTGGTACCATAGCCACTATCCAAAAGCAGGTGACACTAAGTAATGAAATTTATCCCCTTGTATTCTGAAGCCTACATATTCAAAATTGGGATGTTGGTAAGACTCCACTCTCCCCAGATCCTCAAAGGGAGGGTCATTCCTTATTTTCTTACTTCTGACAGGCCTTAGCTATGGATACCTCAACTGGGTTTCCCTTCCCCCACCTTCTCTCCATGTTTCTTTCTGTGTCCAGATTGTTCTGTGTCCAGATTATCCTCTTACGAGGACCTCAGTGTTTGGAGTAGGCATGTGTGCGTGCGTGTGTGCGTGCATGTGTGTGTGTGTGTGTGTGTGTGTGTGTGTGTTTGGATAGGTGGCTGCCTGGGGTTCAATGACTTGCCTAACCTATCCTAATTAACAGTCTCCAGGCCAATGGGAGTCTGTCTCAAAGAAAAAGATACAGGCCTCAGAAAGAATAACATCTGAGGTTGACCTCTGACCTCCACATGTAAATACACACCCACACATGTATGCTGCACAAATATATGAGCGTGCATGTGTGGGTGCACACATACACAGAGACAGACACACACACACACACACACACACAGAGAGAGAGAGAGAGAGAGAGAGAGAGAGAGAGAGAGAGAGAGAGAGAGAGAGAGAGAGAGAGAGAGAACACATATACCTTATAGTCATTACATTACCAGGCTGCAGACAGATGCCTGCTCCCTCCTCTAGAAAATTCATCAGCTGCCAGCCCCTTGGTTTGAGAAGTGCTCTGTAAGCATGTGGTTCCTTCCCTGTGAGAATATTTGCTACTATGGGATTCGGTTAAACGCCTATGGGATGCTTTGGGCCCAGTCTCGTTATTGATGGCTATGGTAGGACCTTGAGTTGGCGTGCCTGCTGCAGGTCTGGACGTGCCAGCCAATGAGTGCTGGCACTGCCTGGTGCTCCTTCTTAGAAGTACTGGCCACCTATCTTCCCTAGCCAGAGACTGCCACCACTCACTTGGGAATTTGGCGACTATAGCACTTTCTATGGAACACCTAAAGGCCTGGGGTGGTAGGGGAGGACAGATGTTTTGAGAGTGGATTCTACTTGGTAAGTGAGCAGGATTTTAGTGGAGCTATGTTTATGCATAACCATACGTTATTATGATTAGTTTCCTACATGAAATTAATTAGGTAAATTAAATTAGCTCTAAAAATCCTTCCTGGAGAGGAGCTTGTTTTAAACAACCCAAGAATTGGAATTTTCAGCTAAACTTTCAAGTGTCCCTACTTTGAAAGTGGTTTTTATAACAGTGTAAAACTTAGGAATTCTGGTGTTTATTAAAAATATTATTAACATAGGGGATTTCCTCCTGACACCATAATTAAAAATACTTTTTTGCCTTTCTGCTATTTTCTTTCATGAGAAGTTAGTGAACATTCTGAGGTGAGAATATATCAGATGGACTCATCAGTTTCAAGTATACAATACATAAGTTGTCGCCAAGGTATAGGGAAGCCTCCAGAAGGGAGAGAGAACATCCTTAGAAGGGGCCTTATTTTAAAAATGAAAAGCAACTCCTCCCACACTCCCCAGAGAAAATAAATGTCATCAAAATCAGAGTTGGCAAAATTTCTGGGTTAGGTCATTTATAAAAACCTCAAAGAGCCAAGTGTCTTAGGATGTCTACTGCTGCAACAAAACACCATGACCAAAAAGCAAGTTGGGGAGGAAAGGGTCTATTTGGCTTATACTTCAGCATTGCTGTTCATCACTGAAGGAAGCCAGGACAGGAACTCAATGAAGACAGGATCCTGGAGGCAGGAGTGATGTAGAGGCCATGGAGGGTGCTGCTTACTGGCTTGCTCCTCATGGCTTGCTCAGCCTGCTTTCTTATAGAACCCAGGACCAGCAGCCTAGGAATGGCATCACCCACCATGGGCTGGGCCCTCCCCCATCAATCACTAGATGAGAAAATGTCTTACAGCTGGATCTCATGGAGGCATTTTCTCAGCTGAGGCTCCTTTCTGTATGATGACTCTAGCTTGTGTCAAGTTGACACAAAACCAGCCAGTATACCAAGTAAGGTAGTGCATGTCTGTTATTCCAGCACTTGGGCAATAGAGACTGTAGGATCAGGTGGGGAACTGGTGGCTTGCTTCTGTAGTCCAATTGGTAAGGTTCAGTTTTGGTGAGAGACCCTGTCTCAAAAGACTGAGGTAGAGAGAAATTAAGGAAGATCCCCAACATCATCTTTTGACCTACCCCCACCATGTACATGCCCTTACACATGCACTTACACGTGCGCGCGCGCGCACACACACACACACATATATGCATGCACGCCACACACGCACTCATACACACACGCACTCATACACACACACACACACACACACACACACACACACACGCATGCACGCACTTGGGCAAGGGCCTAGGGGCACATTTTCTTTTTCTCTTTCACAGTGATACCTCGGGGTTGTTTTAGTCCTTGTTCTTGCTTCTGTGGAGCAGCTCAGTGGATGAGTCACTGCTCAGCCATATCCCCAGAGGATGTCTTTGCAAATGTTGACTCAGCAGCAGCACTGGGGTGGGTGGAAAAGGAGCTGGCTGAGAAGCCTGGTGGATAACTTGAAGCTGGGGCTGCAGTTCCTACGCTTGAGATAGTAGCGGGCTGGTGTTCCGCAACGAAATGGGATGCAAGGCAGTGGCCGCTCTCCAGAGCCACCCTTTCTGTCTCATAGGAAATGCAAGAGGCCAGGCATTGCTGGAGGGACAGCATCCCTGTCTTCTGGCCTCAAATCTGGCCAGTGTGAGGATTTCCTCTTCTTTCTCCCTTTGGGGCTGTGGCTAAGCCTGGGAGCTGTTCTCCTGAACACTGGCTGCTACAGAGGATGTGAACATGATGTCATGGCTAGCAGGGGCAGTCAGCTTTTCTACAGCTGTGTGTGTCCAGGCTGTAGACAGCCACCATGTGCACTGTGGCTGGAGGCCAACCAAGGCCACACAGAAGACCGGGGCTCCAGCCCAAGTGGCTTTACCTTTGATTCTGCGCTTGACCTAGGAAGACAGGCGCCCGGCGTTTCTCCCCCAGTCCAGCTCGGCGCTTCTATAGTCAGGGAGACACCCAAGCAAGCAAGCGTGCAGGGCTGGCTGAGGGTCTTGCTGAGATACCTCTGCAAGTCCCAATCCTCAGCACCCCACAGTTAGTTTTCTCCCTGCCCATTCTGCTTACTGTTCAGAAATCAGGGAACCTCAGCAAAGTGAGGACAGAAGACTTGCTCAGACAACTTAGGATGTTAGCCCCACTTAATTTCCACAAAAATGGTTTGGCTTGGGGGTAGAATCATGATAATAAGGGGCTTAAATTTTTCCCACAATAGTTGGTCTTCTTAAAGGCCTTTATTTTTCTCTCTGTGCTCTAATATTTATTGTACAATTCACAGAGGCACATGCTTGAAGATCACTGTGAAAGTGGGTTTTAAGTATTCTCACCAACAAACAAACCAAAAAAACCCATGAAACCCCCAAACAAGTACCAAATGTGATGAACATTTCTGTTAGCTAGATTTGATAATTTCACAATGTATACTTGCAGCCTCATATTTGCATTGTATAAATATGTACACTTTTACCTGTTAATTGACAAATGATATTAGAATAATTGGACAACTCAAAATGTACATATTTCTTATGAAAAACTCAGAAATGTCCAGAGTCAAAACCCATTGAGTGGCAGATGCAGTAATCTCCCCACTTGATCTCTGGTCACGCCTAAGCTTTTACTCCAGTCCATGCCACCGGCCCTGTCATTGCCCCTGCAGGATGCCCAGTGTGCTTGGTGAGATGACTCTGCCCCAAGTTGCTCAGTTGTCAGCACATACCTGGGAATCTGTGCATCAAGACGCCAAACAGAACCTTTCACCTCCAGAACCACGGCCTGCGGGTGTGAGGGGGCCAGTTGGATCTTCAGGATCCATGCCTAGCAGCAGTAGGCCGAGGGATGCACACATGCAGGATTTGCTCCTTAACGTACAGCACACTGGGAATTGGAATAATGCACACAGATGGCGATGGGTGGGATGGAAGGAGAGGGACAAACTCTGACATCGTTCCCAGTGTAATTGTGCACCCAATCCTGCTGTGAGTCTACATGACTAGAGTGAAAGACTAGTGGAGGATGGTGAATGCTGAAGGGAAATGCAGTGTCAGCCAGGGGAGGTCAGCTGGAGGATGGTGAATGCTGCAGGGAAATGCAGTGTCAGCCAGGGGAGGTCAGCTGGAGGATGGTGAATGCTGCAGGGAAATGCAGTGTCAGCCAGGGGAGGTCAGCTGGAGGATGGTGAATGCTGCAGGGAAATGCAGTGTCAGCCAGGGGAGGTCAGCTGGGACCAGGGCTACTAGCTGCCATCATACCTGTGCTTAGTATCAAGACAGTTTTAGGATTTACTTATTTATGTATTTAAGGTAAATGACTCATGGCTGCTTTGGGGTTGTCACTCTCCTCCTTTAGCTCCTTCTCCTAGTCAGGATAGTGGCCCCACCAGCGCTCTGTGATTGTTTACTAACTGGGAATTTGTGGAAGGGCATTTGGGGATGTTTGTTGATGGAAAAGCAGGGCACAGCCATCATCAAGAGAGGTGATTGTGAGCCCATGGGGCATGCAGAACCAGGCCTTGTATCTTTGCTTTCCCACTCTCCCCAACTGCACACCAGTTTTAGAAATGACTTCTTGTTGCCTTTCCATGGATGTAAGTAATGACCCTTACAGCTTTCCAAGTTGAGTGGCTTGAGATACCCCTACAGTTGACAGGTAATTAATTGTCTCTGATCAAAAACACCTTTTAATGTTTTTCACCTCTTGAAAGAATAACTTCTTTCCAATGGTTAAGTGTGGAGACGTTCAGCTGTGAAAGGGATGTCCTGGGCCGGTGAGGTGGCCCAGGGGGTAAAGGTACTTGTCACCAAGCCTGTGACCCGCGTTCTGTCTTCACAAGCCACCTGGTAGAAGAAGAGAACTGACTCCCTCGTACATTGTCTTAGGGTTTTATTGCTGTGAAGAGATGCCAGGACCACAGCAGCTCTTAAAGGAAGACAGTTAATTGGTGGCTACCTTACAGTTTCAGAGGTTTGGTTCATTTTTGTCATGGCCAAAGGCATGGCAGCATGCAGGTAGACATGGTGCTGGAGAGGTAGCTGAGAGCTCTACATCTGGGTCAGTAGGCAGCAAGAAGAGGCTTCAGCTTCTAAAATCCTCAAAGCCTACCCCTGGTGGCACACCTCTTCCAACATGGCTGCACCTACCCCAACAAGGCCACACCTCCTAATAGTGCCACGCCCCATGAGCCTGTGGGGGCCATTTTCACTCAAATGACCACAACCTTTACATGTGTACAAGGGCACATGCATGCATACCTTACAAATAAATGCCAAAAAAATCTAAAATGGGGCTCTTCTATGTGGTGACTGGGTTTACTGTCATTGTTAATTGTCCAAACTAAAGTGACAACATCTCAGGAGTACTAGCCAACGTTGGTGTATTTTCCTCTCCTATTCCTGCAGGGTACTGACTGTATCTTTTTCCCCCCAGGACAGATTTCTGCGTTCACAAAGATGAACCATGTGACACTGTTGGTAAGTTTACAGTCCTCACAATGATTCAAGGAGATGGTATATTGTAGGACTTCTGGTCTGAAGGATTTGCCCCTATGTCCCCATGCAAACTTCACATTTTCTGTAGCCTCTCTTCATGTAAACTGATTTCTTGACTGTATTCTATTTTTTTTTTCAGGTAAGTTTTGAGGTTGCCTTTGACAAAAGGCATCTTTAGATAAAGGGTTAAGAATGTTATAACAAGGCCGGGCGTTGGTGGAGCACACCTTTAATCCCAGCACTCTGGAGGCAGAGGCAGGCGGCTCTCTGTGAGTTCGAGGCCATCCTGGTCTACAGAGCGAGTCCCAGGACAGCCTCCAAAACAATACAGAGAAACCCTGTCTCGAAAAACCAAAAAAAGAATGTTATAACAAGGCATACCAAGGGCAAGAGCTGCCAGGCTGCTCCAAGGCATTGCAGCTGAGAGAATAGCTCTCTCTAAGTGTCTCACCCACCCGGGCTGTTCGCTTTCTAGTCTAGACAGTCCTGAGATACGCGTACAGTGCTGGAGAAACACGGGTTTTCCTCCCTTCTCTCCCTCACCTGTACTCACACACAGATTTCCTTCCTCTCCCAGTCTCAGTCAAACCTGAACTGCCCTTAAGGTTTCATGGTGAAACCTCCCTTCTGCCAAGTGGTGGTGGCACACTCCTTTAATCCCAGTACTTGGGAGGCAGAGACAGGAGGGCCTCTGGGTTAGAGGCCGGCCTGGTCTACAGATGGAGTTCCAGGACAGCAAGGGTTACACAGAGAAACCCTGTCTCAAAAACAAAAATAAACCTTTCTTCAGGTGCAGGCAGAGTATTTGTCTAATAAAGGAAGTGTTCAGAGTGTCTCCAGTGCCATCTGGCATCACGCACAGGGAGGTGCCCAATATTGTATTAACCAAAGAGAAATTATGAATCTCGTATGCTCAGATGCTTCAAGTTACAGGAACACTGATGGGGAGTCTGTTAGGATTGGCATCATATCTAACATTGTAAAATACAGATGTTTGCAACCAGTTACCATGGAGTCTCAGCTATGGGTGACCTTGGCCTCTGCCATGGCTCTACATGACTGAAGTGGATGGTTCAAGTTTCTTAACACATATGATGACTGCCTTGATTAAGTGATTTAATAAGGTCCTTTAAAATCTGGTATGAGGCTAGCCAACCTTTATTTTACACTTTGCAGTTCATAGTTATTATTTTTCTTTTTTACTTTATCAGTCTTCTAAACAGATCAGAGGACAGGATTTCAAAACTCAGCCAATGGATGTCTGCACTTTGCGCCTTAGGACTGGTTCCATGATGGCATCTCGGGTGAAGACAACTAGTCTTGTTTTGCTTGTGGTGTAGCTGAGGCAGGCTCAATCCTAGCTGGGGCTATAGAAGATGTGAACCTACAGAGAAGTGTGTGGCTGGCACGGTTGCTCGGTCCAGCATTCCCAGGTGGCCTTTGAGGGCTGCCGTAGCTCTTCCTGGAGTGTGCCTCGCCCTCTCCTTGTGCTGTCTGCTTGCCTAGGCTCAAGAGGCATCAGCTCCTCATCTAGCCCTTGTCCTACTCTCCCTGATCACCCAGAAGCCTCTGTGCTATGCTGTACTGAGCCTGGGTCTCCAAACTGTACCCCCAGCACCTGGCTGAGAACTTGAGAGGGTCCTATGGACCGTGTTGAGTGGTCAGTTAATCCCAGGGAAGGAATGAGTGCAGGTGACAGCCTCTCCATGTCTGTATGGTGTGCACTGAAGTATGTGCTTCTCTTTCACAGGGCTGATAACTACCTTTTGTTTAACTGTGAATGTATGAAGCACCCTTATGATATAAATTGATTGTGCACCACTCCCCTTGCGGAAGATCAAGTAGGCAATCCTAACCAAGTGCCTTTCTCTTGTCTACCCAATACTTCCATGTACTTAAATACCTCGCTCATGACACTTTTCCATTCCCAAATGGTGCAAGGTCTGCGTCTCTCAGACCTTAAGAAAAACTTTTGTTTCGCAGTCCTGGAGGTCATTAGCCCAGGTCCCGTTGACTACAGGTGTCTGGTTTCTGATGAGGGCTCTCCATGGCCTGTAGAAGGCTGCCTTCACACCGTTTCCTTACTTCTGTGTGCCCCTGTTCTCTGTTTTCTTGTTGTAAGGACATCAGCCACACTGGATTAGGACCCACCTTTATGACTTCAGTTAACCTTATTGAATTCTATTTCTCAAAGACCTGTTTCAGAATATAGTCATACTGAGGGTCGGTGCTTCACCCTGTGGTTCTGAGGATCATGATTTACTCCAAAGGGCTATTCATTTGACATTAGCCACATATCACCAGGTGGTACCCGATGTCCTTATATCTCCTCTCTGGCACTTATGTCTCACTTCCTGACAGGGCACATCTTTTCATGACAGGGACAGGGATCAATCATTCTTAACGTTACCTGGTTACCCGAGGGATGAGCTGTTCTGCCTCCTGACTCCCAGAATGCGCTCTTTCTAATGCCCTGGTTATT